TCATAACGTCTGAGATCCCCAGAGATTGGAAAGCTGCCGCGGTCATCCCCCTCTTCAAAGGGGGTGACACTCTAGATCCAAACTGCTACAGACCTATATCCATCCTGCCCTGCCTTTCGAAAGTATTCGAAAACCAAGTTAACAAACAGATCATCGACCATTTCGAATACCACCGTACCTTCTCCGCTATGCAATCCGGTTTCCGAGCTGGTCACGGGTGCACTTCAGCCACGCTCAAGGTCCTAAACGATATTATAACCGCGATTGATAATAGACAGTACTGTGCAGCCGTCTTCATCGACCTGGCCAAGGCTTTCGACTCTGTCAACCACCGCATTCTTATTGGCAGACTAAATAGCCTTGGTTTCTCAAATGACTGCCTCGCCTGGTTCACCAACTACTTCTCAGATAGAGTTCAGTGTGTCAAATCGGAGGGCCTGTTGTCTGGACCTATGGCAGTCTCTATGGGGGTGCCACAGGGTTCAATTCTTGGGCCGACACTTTTCTCCGTGTATATCAATGATGTCGCTCTTGCTGCTGGTGACTCTCAGATCCACCTCTATGCAGACGACACCATTTTGTATACATCTGGCCCTTCATTGGACACTGTGTTAACAAACCTCCAAACGAGCTTCAATGCCATACAACAATCCTTCAGTAGCCTCCAACTGCTCTTAAACACTAGTAAAACTAAATGCATGCTTTTCAATCGAACGCTGCTGGCACCCGCCCACCCGACTAGAATCACCACTCTCGACGGGTCTGACCTAGAGTATGTGGACAACTACAAATACCTAGGTGTCTGGTTGGACTGTAAACTCAACTTCCAGACTCACATAAAGAATCTCCAATCCAAAGTTAAATCTAGAATCGGCTTCCTATTTCGCAACAAAGCCTCCTTCACTCATGCTGCCAAACATGCCCTCGTAAAACTGACTATCCTACCGATCCTTGACTTCGGCGATGTCATTTACAAAATAGCCTCCAACACTCTACTCAGCAAATTGGATGTAGTCTATCACAGTGCCATCCGTTTTGTCTCCAAAGCCCCATACACTACCCACCACTGTGACCTGTACGCTCTTGTTGGCTGGTCCTCACTACATGTTCGTCGTCAAACCCACTGGCTCCAGGCCATCTATAAATCACTGCTAGGCAAATCCCCGCCTTATCTTAGCTCATTGGTCACCATAGCAGCACCCACCCGTAGTCTGCGCTCCAGCAGGTATATCTCACTGGTCATTCCCAAAGCCAACACCTCCTTTGGCCGCCATTCCTTCCAGGTCTCTGCTGCCAATGACTGGAACGAATTGCAAAAATCTCTGAAGCTGGAGACTCTTATCTCCCTCAATAACTTTAAGCATCAGTTGTCAGAGCACCTTACCGATCACTGCACCTGTACACAGCCCATCTGAAATTAGCCCACCCAACTGCCTCATCCCTATATTGTTATTTATTTTGCTCTTTTGCACCCCAGTATCTCTATTTGCACATAATCTCTTGCACATCTAGCATTCCAGTGTTAATACTATTGTAATTATTCTGCACTATAGCCTATTTATTGCCTTACCTCCATAACTTGCTACATTTGCACACACTGTATATATATTTTCTGTTGTATTTCTGACTTTATGTTTTTTACCCCATATGTAACTCTGTGTTGTTTTTATTGCACTACTTTGCTTTATCTTGGCCAGGTCGCAGTTGTAAATGAGAACCTGTTCTCAACTGGCTTACCTGGTTAAATAAAGGTGAAATAAAATAAAAATAAAAAAGAGGAAGCAAGAATGTAATGTCTAGTTTTCACACACACACACTGCTTGAAGAGTTTACTGATTATAATGATTTCATTATTGGTTATTATTGTCAATTATTTTGTTGACAGAACCCATTGTATTATATTATTGTATTAAATTATTATATAAACTATTAAAAAATATAGAAATATAAAAACAACAGCATTTCTATATAGCATCCTATATATATATATATATATATATATATATATATATATATATATATATAGAGATATATATATATATATATATATATATATATATATATATATATATATATATATATATATATATATATATATATATATATTGTATGGGTTTAGCATGGCTGTAAATGATAGAGAAGTTAACTAAAGCACAAACAGCCCTAGCTACTAGGGATGATAAAGAAACATGTTCCATGTGACATTTTGAATGACATGTAGATATTTTGTTGTTGCTAGGATTTATGGTCTCATTGTGCCTATATCTAGACTCATATTCCTTTAACTACACATGTGAAGCTGAAAGAAAATCATATTTAAATGTATGTCAAACCATTTTGAAATGTTGACCCTGATGTCACATATTGGCCCCTGTATTTATAGAAAGACCCTAATGCATTCTCATTTCAACGCCAAACCCACCACTGGTGTGTGTGGCCAAAGAGCTCTATTTTCATGTCATCCAACAAATGTAAAGGCCTGGAGTTTGCTAAACAGCATTGGCACTTGGATTGAAACCGGTGCTATGGTCAGATTACATGGAAATAGAGCTCTTTGGCCACTCACACCAGTGGTGGGTTTAACGTCAAAATCAGAATGTGTAAGAAGAAGAAATAACACCAGTGGTGGGTTCAACGTCAAAATAAGGATGCATAAGAAGAAAATAACCCAATACCTACTGTAAAATATGGTGGTGGATCTTTGATGTTACCAGTAGCTGTGCGTGGGTAAAATCACTGAGGAAGCCAAGCCAGGAAGAAAAAGCCATATTACAACCTATGTGTTGTGATAATTGCGTTGTTTGCTGTATAACCTATTAGTTCATATGCCTTGCCACCGTGATATATAGGCCTTGCCACCGTGATATATAGGCCTAAGGCCGAGACAATAAGAAGACACAGTGGCAGAATAAATTCAACCACACCTTTGTTTCATCACAAAACCGGAGAGCAACATCTGTCCAGTGGAGTCCACAAAGCATATTGCAAAGCATATTGCATTTAACAAACAGTTACATGACCTACAGCATGGTCAGCCTAACTTCCTTTCATGGGCAATGATGAGCCAGCTAGTTAATATAGCTACTACATATAGCTACATATTGAACTTCCATCCTCTCATGCCAGGGGCACAATGTACGTATGAATTTATGGTTGGATCAGAATCGCCGTCATAATCATTGGCCAGTACGGAGAATTAAGTAAAACCACAAGTCCAAATCCCTATCTCCATCCATGGCTAATTTAGGAAAGGGACAATTTTAGTTAGCTAGCTAGCCACCAAAGGACAACAACAGAGCGAGTTGCAATAATACATAACAATTCTGTCAATGACGTTTGGCTTTTGATGTGATGTGATTGGTGTGAAGCCAAATCCAAACGGGCTTCCCTTGAAAAAAAATGTTGGTGCGCCAGAACCATTCACAGTTGAGCTCACTCAGTTTAGCGCAACGCTGATTGGCTATTATTTTATATTTCTTTATTAAGGGACAACAAATGCTCGCTGGCTTTCCTTGCATTCAATGCTATGGGCGGCAACAATATCATACTGTTTTTGACCAGACAGCATCAGATAGATGTGATACACATACAGATACACAGGGGAGCTGTTTCACTCACTCAGATGCTTTTTCTGATGAGATACATTCAGCCTCTTGCAAATGGAAGGACAATTATGAAACACAGAGAGAGATGAAAGATACATTCTTTTATGTTTTTGGGGGGAAGCCTGGCTTCCCTTGGCAACCATGAATACACACCATTGGATGTTATGGGTCTATTTTGCTTCCACTGGTCTTGGGGCCCTTGTGAAGGTCAATGGCATCATGAACTTTACCCAGTACTAGGACATTTTAGCCCAAAACCATAAAATAATATATTTGCCCAAATGTTTGGAGCATACAATATAGCTCAGTATTTTAATTCTTTATTTTATACAGTAACAGTAACATCTTTATAAAATATGTCAATAATTTCAGACCCCACTGTACGTGTGAGGACGTTCTGTGTATATGCTCTCAGTGGAGTTTTCACAGTACTAAGCTCTGCTTACCTAAGCTGATGTGAACTGCATGACAGTTACACACTTGTAGTTTACACTTGTTTTTGGCGCTGTCACTCTCTGGCACAACAGGCTACGAATTACAGTGGTGTGGATACTGTGGTTTCCTCACTTTCCTGCATGGCAGACTACACATTACCTTTAAAGACAGCTCACTGTCATTCCACTATCTTACCTTATTTAAACTCTTTTAAGGTCAATTCAATTCAAGACAGTGTTTAGCTGGTATAGTTTGCAGAGCTTTCTCTTGCTATTTCACACATGTAATTACAGGCAAGCAGACACACACGTACACACACTCATTCACTCAGTCAGCATTGCTATTTGCCAATTGGAGTGTGACAGTATTGGAATTTGAATCCCCATGTGAAGAATGTGATTTCCTGCCCCTGCAATAGAATATGTGTGCCAGTCAAATGCAGCTGTTAGCTGTTTGTGTGCGTGTGTGCATACACTAGTGTGTGCGTATGGTATCAGTGTATTTTACTGAAAGCATGTTTCAATTATTGTGTGTTTATTGTGAACCTTTTCTGTGTGAAGGGTGAGCGCTTAAATGCAGGAAAGGTACAGTAGGAATGTGATGTGGGGTGGTACGGTTTCCATCAGAGATAAGAGAACAATGAATATTTACTTCTGTTGGAGTAACACAATGCTCCTGAACACTGCATAGTTTGTTGAGATGGGTTTCAGGCACCACTACACTGTTATTACAATGATATTACACCAATATTACACCAATATTACACTGCTTAAATCACACTGAAGCTTTGTTTGAGAACTATGGTTGCGTCTGAAATGGCACCCTATTCCCTATACTGCACTACTTTGACCAGGACCCATAGGGTAGTACACTATATAGAGAAAAGGGTGCCATTTGGTACACACCTATGATGACCATAATTGATAACCCGACAAACCGTTTACTAATGTGTCTTGACAGGACCCCTCCCCATGGTGTCAAAGGGCACGCACGTCATCATTCAATTGGTGGAAGAGCTAGAGGACGACCGCTGGGAGGCCAAGATAGTGGAGCAGAACGGCAACAGGATCAAGCTGTCTGTCAACTCGCATGCCAAAGCTGTGATTGGCCAGTACAAGCTCACCGTGATGGTGAAGTCTCCAAAGGGCGAGTGTGCAACCACACACGACCCCAGCAAAGACATAATCATGCTGTTCAACCCCTGGTGTGAAGGTAAAGACTGTTGGGAAATGAGGGAGGAAGGAATGAGAGAGAAGGGGGAGAAAAATAAATACTGGGAGACAAGGTTTGCACGTTTAGGACCATACCATTGCCACTGAAGTGCTAACCCCACCCCCCGTGCTCACCTAAAGTGTGTCACAGCGGGTCAAACAAAGATATTAATTTGTATCACAGTTCAGCTTCAATGCTGTATATCAGTTTAATGTTTCAATGTTGTTATTCCATTGCAATAGGAACAGACCCATGGCCCCAACCAAACACCAGGAACAAGTGACAGATCACAGAGTAGACACAGAGCTCAAAAGAGCTATGGTTTATACACTGAGTGTACAAAACATTAGGGACACCTTCCTAATATTGAGTTGAACCCCTTTTTCGCCTCAGAACAGCCTCAATTCATCGGGGCATGGACTCTACAAGGTGTCGAAAGCGTTCCCACGCTGGCCCATGTTGACTCCAATGCTTCCCACAGTTGTGTCAAGTTGGCTGGATGTCCTTTGGGTGGTGGACCATTCTTGTTACACACGGGAAACTGTTGAGTGTGAAAAACCCAGCTCGTTGCAGTCCTGACACACTCAAACCGGTGCGCCTGGCAACTACTACCATACCAAAGGCACTTAAATCTTTTGTCTTGCCCATTCACCATCTGAATGGCACACATACGCAATCAATTTCTCAATTGTCTGCTTAAAAATCATTTTTTAACCTGTCTCCTCCCCTTCATCTACACAGATTGAAGTGGATTTAACAAGTGACATCAATAAGGGATCATAGCTTTCACCTGGATTCACCTGGTCAGTCTATGTCATGGAAAGAGCAGGTGTTCCTAATGTTTTATACATTCAGGGTATAACGGAGGCTGGCTCTAGGACTGTACTCTATTTAGCCTCTTGGTCTCTCAGAGTAGTGCTAATGTAAATTTGCACATAGGCGGGAAACTCAGCTCACTGCCTAATAATGTGCTGCTATCCATCATAAAGTTACAGCTTGACCCAGTGTGACCCAGAACGTTTGTTTCATTGTCTGGATGCACGTCAAGACCACACGTACATTTGCTTGGGACTCTGGTCTTTGCCAATTGGTATGTTGGCCTGTTGGCCTGCTTGGCCTGTTTTCCCTTATATTGTTATATTGTCTTTTCAATCAATCCTGTATTTTTAGGTCTCTGGAGTTAAAACATGAGAACTTCTGCACAATTACTGTACAACTGCCCAGCGCTGTAGGAGTATATGACAGTAATACAGCAGCTGGAGGCAATCTGCTCTCCCTCTCTCTCGCTTTTGCTCTTTCTCTCTCTCTCTCCCCCTTTCCCTCTCTCCCTATGTGCCATGTAAAGCCAGCCAAATCTCAGCTGCTAGATTCTGTCAAGAGGTCGAATCTATACTGTACCTCCTCCCTTAAAACTTCTACACAACCTCTGCCATTCCTCCCTCCCTGCTTGCGATTCTACCTCTCCCTCTTTGTAGCGTCCTCTCCCTCCACTAGTTTGTGTAGTCTTTTTCTACCTCTTCTTTCCTCTTCCTTCCCACGTCCCATCTTGACCACTGCTCCCAACCATATCGTTGAACCTCTCTGCCCCTTCTGCTAGTTCTCCCTCCCTCCGTCCCCCCTAGGTTTTTCCTCTGCCTCCCTTCCTTCTAGTCCCTCCTCCCCACAGCTTTCTCCTGTTTCACAGTGTCTCACACAGATAATCACGTCCATGTGGTCAGTAAAGACAATAAACTGATGGAAAAGAGAGAGCCAGATATTCCCAGAGGGTCCTTACTCCACCCTGGGGTATATTATCCATTTAGAAGATTGTCACACAATTCAGCCCTTTTCCTCTAAATGAGCCAGGCCACTCAATGAGCTCCAGCCATTGTGCTAGCAACAGTTAAACCTATTCTGGCCTCTAGTACTAGTAAACTCTCTCCCTGCTTTGTGAAGTCCAGACATTTAGCTAGTAGTGATTAACCCTCTCCTGGCTACACTGACTCTCCCTGCTCTGTATGGTCCAGATATTCAGCAAATAACAGTTAACCCTATCCTGGCCTCTCTGTCTGATTCTCCCTGGTGTTTATCAAAAGAGTCATTTGTGGCTGTCTGATATCAGGCAGATATGACTGTGTTGTGGACTTTACATCAGATGACATTTCAGAAATGTTAAGAAAAACAGAAATAATTTTTGCAATGGATAACTGATAAATGTATACCTAATCTTTGTCCCCCTTCCCACTCCCTCTAAGATGACACAGTGTACATGGATGACGAGGAGGAGAAGAAGGAGTATGTGCTGAATGACACAGGAATACTCTACTACGGCACAGAGAAACAGATTGGAGGTCGCACATGGAACTATGGACAGGTATGAGACAGGGAGAAAATGTAAAATCAAGTGTGGTTGCGATGAAATCTTTCTGCAAATTCAAGTCATTCTGAAAACCACAGTCATTTAAGTCATTTATTAACCACAGAATAAAAGTCATTTATTCATTGTTTTGACCCCTATCATGTCTTCCATCTCTCCCTCCCTGTATGTTTCCCCCACTCTGTGCTGTTCAGTTCCTTGAGGGGATGCTGCAGGCCTGTTTATATTTGCTGGAGAAGAGTGAGATCCCTCCGTCTGGTAGAGGAGACCCTGTCAATGTGGTCAGAGTCATATCTGCAATGGTGAGTTTCCTGTCAACTTATATGACATCCAGTAGTGAACGTACAACTTATTTCTCATACTCCACATACTTTTCCGTGTATTTATACCTGGCATATGTTCATTGATCTGAATTATGTTTAGGTATGTTGATGTTAACTTCACGACCATTACTGTAACATTATGGTAAAAAATAATGTGTTCTCAATAACCTACCTGGTTAAATAAAAACAACCACATGATTCTGTATTTTATATTATTGAAAACAAAACTGACTCTCTCTCCCTTTGTTGCGTTCCAGATCAATTCCCCAGATGACAATGGGGTCCTGGCAGGGAATTGGTCAGGGAACTATGTAGGAGGAGTTTCCCCTACAGCGTGGAATGGCAGTGTGGACATCCTGAAGAAATACCACAAGGAGGGAGGCCTGCCTGTCAAATATGGACAGTGCTGGGTCTTCTCTGGGGTCACCACCACAGGTGTGTGTGTGTGTGTGTGTGTGTGTGTGTGTGTGTGTGTGTGTGTGTGTGTGTAAAATCAAATCAAATCAAATTTTATTTTCACATGCGCTGAATACAACAGGTGTAGACCTTACCGTGAAATGCTTACTTACAAGCCCTTAACCAATAATGCAGTTTTAAGAAAATATTTACTAAATCAAGTGAAAAAAGTAACACAATAGAATAACAATAATGAGGCTATATACAGGGGGTACCGGTACCGAGTCAATGTGTGGGGATATAGGTTAGTCAAGGTAATTAAGGCAATATGAACATGTAGGTAGGGGTAAAGTGAATATGCATAGATAATAAACAGCGAGTAGCGGCAGCATAAAAAAAATGCAAATAGTCAGAGTAGCCATTTGATTAATTGTTCAGCTGTCTTACGGCTTGTGGGTAGAAGCTGTTAAGGAGCCTTTTGGACCTAGACTTGGTGCTCCGGTACCGCTTGCCATGCGGTAGCAGAGAGAACAGTCTATAACTTGAGGGGATGGAGTCTTTGAAAATGTTTAGGGCCTTCCTCTGACACTGCCTGGTATAGAGTTCCTGGATGGCAGGAAGCTTGGCCCCAGCGATGTACTGGGCCGTACCCTCTGTAGTGCCGAGCAGTTGCCATACCAGGCGGTGATGCAAGCAGTAAGGATGCTCTCGATGGTGCAGCTTTATAACTTTTTGAGGATCTGGGGAGCCATGCCAAATCTTTTCAGTCTTCTGAGGGGGAATAGGCGTTGTCATGCCCTCTTCACGACTGTCTTGGTATGTTTGGACCATGATAGTTTGTTGGTGATATGGACACCAAGGAACTTGAAGCTCTCGAACCGCTCCACTGCTCGGCCCTCCTTTTCCTGTAGTCCACGATCAGCTCCTTTGTCTTGCTCACGTTGAGGGAGAGGTTGTTGTCCTGGCACCACACTGCCAGATCTCTGACTTCCTCCCTATAGGCTGTCTCATCATTGTCAGTGATCAGGCCTACCACCGTTGTGCTGTCGGCAAACTTAATGATGGTGTTGGAGTCACGCTTGGCCACGCAGTCGTGGGTGAACAGGGTGTACGTGAGGGGACTAAGCACGCACCCCTGAGGGACCCCCGTGTTGAGGATCAGCGTGGCAGATGTGTTGTTACCTACACTTACCACCTGGGAGCGGCCCGTCAGGAAGTCCAGGATCCAGTTGCAGAGGGAAGTGTTTAGTCCCAGGTTCCTTAGCTTTGTGATGAGCTTTGTGGGCACTATGGTGTTGAACGCTGAGCTGTAGCCAATGAACAGCATTCTCACATAGGTGTTCCTTTTGTCCAGGTGGGAAAGGGCAGTGTGGAGAGCAATTGAGATTGCGTCATCAGTGGAACTGTTAGGGCGGTATGAGAATTGGAGTGGGTCTAGGGTTTCCGGGATAATGGTGTTGATGTGAGCCATGACCAGCCTTTCAAAGCGCTTCATTGCTACAGACGTGAGTTCTACGGGGAGGTAATCATTTAGGCGGGTTACCATGGAGTTCTTGGGCACAGGGACTACAGTGGTCTGCTTGAAACATGTAGGTATTACAGACTCGATCAGGGAGAGGTTGAAAATGTCAGTGAAGACACTTGCTAGTTGGTCCGCCCATGCTCTGAGTACACGTCCTGGTAATCCGTCGAGCCCCTACGGAGAGCGTGATCACACAGTCGTCTGGAACAGCTGGTGCTCTCATGCATGCTTCAGTGTTGCTTACCTCGAAACGAGCATAGAAGGCATTTAGGTAAACTGGTAGGCTTGCGTCACTGGGCAGCTCGCGGCTGGGTTTCCCTTTGTAATCCGTAATAATTTGCAAGCCCTTCCACACCAGACGAGCATCAGAGCCGGTGTAGTAGGATTCAATCTTAGTCCTTTATTGACGCTTTGCCTGTTTGATGGTTCGTCTGAGGGCATAGCGGGATTTCTTATAAGAGTCCGGATTAGTGTCCTGCTCCTTGAATGCGGCAGCTCTTTAGCTCAGTGCGGATGTTGCCTGTAATCCATGGCTTCTGGTTGGGATATGTACAGTGCCTTGCAAAAGTATTCATCCCCCTTGGTGTTTTTCCTATTTTGTTGCATTACAACCTATAATTTAAATTGATTTTTATTTGGATTTCATGTAATGGACATTCACAAAATAGTCCAAATTGGTGAAGTGAAATGAAAAAAATAACTTGTTTCAAAAAATTCTAAAAAATAAATAACGGAAAAGTGATGCGTGCATATGTATTCACCCCCTTTGTTATGAAGCCCCTAAAGAAGATCTTATGCAACCAATTACCTTCAGAAGTCACATAATTAGTTAAATAAAGTCCACCTGTGTGCAATCTAAGTGTCACATGATCTGTCACATGATCTCAGTATATATACACCTGTTCTGATAGGCCCCAGAGTCTGCAACACCACTAAGCAAGGGGCACCACCAAGCAAGCAGCACCATGAAGACCAAGGAGCTCTCCAAACAGGTCAGGGACAAAGTTGTGGAGAAGTACAGATCAGGGTTGGGTTATAAAAAAATATCCAACACTTTTAACATCCCACAGAGCACCATTAAATCCATTATAAAAAAATTTAAAGAATATGGCACCACAACAAATCTGCCAAGAGAGGGCTGCTCATCAAAACTCACAGTCCAGGCAAGGAGGGCATTAATCAGAGAGGCAACAATGAGACCAAAGATAACCCTGAAGGAGCTGCAAAGCTCCACAGCGGAGAATGGAGTATCTGTCCATATGACCACTTTAAGCCGTACACTCCACAGAGCTGGGCTTTACGAAAGAGTGGCCAGAAAAAAGCCATTGCTTAAAGAAAAAAATAAGCAAACACGTTTGGTGTTCGCCAAAAGGCATGTGGGAGACTCCCCAAACATATGGTAGAAGGTACTCTGGTTAGATGAGACTAAAATTGAAACATTTCAATGTCTTGGAATGGCCTAGTCAAAGCCCAGACCACAATCCAATTGAGAATCTGTGGTATGACTTAAAGATTGCTGTACACCAGCTGAACCCATCCAACTTGAAGGAGCTGGAGCAGTTTTGCCTTGAAGAATGGGCAAAGCTCCCAGTGGCTAGATGTGCCAAGCTTATAGAGACATACCCCAAGAGACTTGCAGCTGTAATTGCTGCAAAAGGTGGCTCTACAAAGTATTGAATTTTGTCTTATTTCTTGTTTGTTTCACAATAAAAAATATTTTGCATCTTCAAAGTGGTAGCCATGTTGTGTAAATCAAATGATACAAACCCCCATTTTTATACCAGGTTGTAAGGCAACAAAATAGGAAAAATGCCAAGGGGGGTGAATACTTTCGCAAGCCACTGTACGTACGGTCAATGTGGGGACGACATCATCGATGCACTTATTGATGAAGCCGGTGACTGGTGTGGTATACTCCTCAATGCCATCGGATGAATCCCGGAACATATTCCAGTCTGTGCTAGCAAAACAGTCCCGTAGCTTAGCATCCACATCATCTGACCACTTTCGTATTGAGCGAGTCACTGGTACTTCCTGCTTTAGATTTAGCTTGTAAACAGGAATCAGGAGGATATACTTATGGTCAGATTTGCCAAATGGAGGGCGAGGGAGAGCTTTGTACGTGTCTCTGTGTGTGGACTAAAGGTGGTCTAGAGTTTTTTTTCCTCTGGTTGCACATGTGACATGCTGGTAGAAATTAGGTAAAACGTATTTAAGTTTTCCTGCATTAAAGTCTCTGGCCACTAGGAGCACCGCTTCTGGATGACCGTTTTCTTGTTTGCTTATGGCCTTACACAGCTTGTGTGTGTGTGTGTGTGTGTGTGTGTGTGTGTGTGTGCGCGCGTGCGTGTACATGTCTCTGTGCATGTGAGTATTTTGCATACCTAGACACATTAACAATATCATTATCCATCACATCCTGTTATGTGTCTAGTCTGTCATGCTTTTCTAATTAGTTTCTCTCTGTAACAGAACACCATTAAACTGAGTGCATGCCAGGGTGGCCCTCACTTAGTAGCTGACCACAGAGCAGCACATAGCAGTGCCTCTGATAGGGTCCCACACCTGATATATCTACCCAAAATACCCCGACAGCATTCCTCTCATTCCTAACACTTTCGTCACAGACACACAGGCACATTTGTTGGGCCTTGCAAGCCTGTATGATCTCTCTCTTTTGCTTGCTTTTCATATCTGTGTCAATTTTGTTCATGCCTGGCCTCATTTTTGCACCTCTCTCTCTCTCTCTCTCTCTCCCTCCCCCTCCTTTTCATTTTCTCTCCATCTCTCAGTGCTCAGGTGTTTGGGTATACCGTGCCGTAGTGTAACCAACTTCCAGTCAGCCCACGACACAGACGTCTCACTCACCACAGACGTGTATTTTGATGAGAATATGGAGCCGTTGGAGGAACTCAACGCTGACTCTGTTTGGTGAGTTATCATCCACTTTAAGTAGGGCCTGGTGTATCTAACCTGTCACAGGTTTAGAGTTTGCGACTTTAAATACCCATTGCCTTGCCACACAAATCATACTCTATAAAAAAAGCCCAGGAATTTTTCCTGACCAAGTGACTGGATCTGGAAAAACACCAGGCTCTAATTATAGAAATAAATGTTTATGGTCAAACTCCTGTTCCTAACTATGTAATCTCAACCACTCCTCTCTGTAGGAATTTCCATGTATGGAATGACTGTTGGATGGCCAGGCAAGACCTTCCGCCTGGTATGGGCGGCTGGCAGGCGTTAGACTCCACCCCCCAAGAGACCAGCCAGGGGACCTTCCGCTGTGGCCCTGCCTCTGTCACTGCCATCCGCACCGGCCAGGTCTACCTCAAACACGACACACCATTCATCTTTGCTGAGGTGAGCACTATGGAAGGAGATGGTCGAAGATCTAGGATCAGTTACTCAGCTTAGCCATCCAAAATCTCGAAATAGAAAGGGAATGGCAAAACTGACCTTGGATTACTTCCTAGGTTTTATCAAAGATTGTACACTTTCCCTATTTCTCCATAAATTAACGATGCTTATCCTGCCTGTCTGTCTCCGTGTGTGTCTGGTCAGGTGAACAGTGATAAGATCTACTGGCAGAGGAAACTGGATGGTACCTTCACTCAGATCTGCAGTGAAAAGAAGGCCGTGGGCCACTTCATCAGCACCAAAGCTGTGGGCTCTGACGAACGCGCTGACATCACACACCTGTACAAACACACCGAAGGTACAGTCATGTCATAATACACTTCAACAGACTATCAGATGGTAGCTTTGCAACCATACACACACATAAAAACACTAAGGTTGGGATGGTTACATCACTCACCTGTACGAAGACAGTAATATCAGAGATCACCTCTGAGGCTCTGAGGAAACATACTATTAAACATACTATTAATGTATTAATCATGCAGACATTGGGGATAGATATTTACACACCAAAGTTTCCAGCAGAATAACGTTTTTAGATTGTAGAGCGGAGACCAATCCTCTACTCTCTCCTTACCCCCTTCCCTCTCTCACCACTCTCCCCCAACCAGGATCAGAGGAGGAGCGTATCGCCGTGGAGACGGCCAGTCGTTATGGCAGCAGGCCTGACGTGTACTCTACGCCCATGGCGGAGGACGTGAGCGTGGAGGTGAAGATGGAGGGGGAGGGGCCTCGTATGGGGGCTGACGCCCAGCTGACCATCGTGGTGACCAATTTGAGCTCCCAGACCCGCAGGACCACGCTACACAGCCAGGTGGCAGTCATGTACTACACCGGGGTGCTGAAGGCCACCTTCAAGAAGGACACGATTCCTGTGGAGCTCAAGCCCAATGAAGGTTAGTAAGCAAGGGGAGTGGGTGGAGGTGGAATATGTCCTTAACCCCTGCTACAGGGTTAGATATTTGTCATACTCCTAGTGGTTAAGGTTAGGATTGGGGTAGGGGTAGGGTAATCTGATCCTAGATCTGGAGTTAAGGGCAACTTTAATCTCAAGCCAACAGAGGCCAGCAGCTAGCCCCACTGCCACCATTTCAGCTCAGTCACAGTAATATCAAAAATAGTCTCTATTTGCTGTCACCAACGTGCATCCTCCATCCTCTCAACTGGTCCCTGTAGAATGTGTAGTAATCTCTCTCTGTTCCTTTTCCTCAGTGAAGACCATGGAGTGGGTCCTGCCCTACCATAGCTACCAGGACCAGCTGGTGGACCAGGCTGCTCTGATGCTGACTCTGTCTGGACGGGTCAGTGAGACCCAACAGGTCCTGGCCACTCAGACCAGCTTCAGGCTGCGCACACCCGACCTCAGCATCGAGGTAAGACACAGGTTATCACTAACACAATCTGTTACTGGGATTCAGGATATACCTTTTCCATCTTTTGTAAATTTGATGGTCAATAAAGCTGTTTAAAATTTAATTTCAAACAGTGTAGGCCCATTTTTTTTTTTGCAATGGTATACAATATGTTGGTTATGTTAATTTTCCTCAGATTTTTTTTTTTTCCTCAGTCTCTACTTGTACTGAATAAAAATATAAACGCAACATGCAACAATTTCTAATCTATGGGTTTCACATGACTGGGCAGGATATCACATGACTGGGCAGGGGTGCAGGAGGGCATAGGCCCACCCACTTGGTACACTGGCTCACCCACTTTACATGTTGTGTTTATATTTTTGTTCAGGATAGTATCCCAAACCAAATGCAATGCCACAGAAATGAAGTACTGATGTCTTGACTCAGGACCATCGCACAGACTGCATACAGATGTCAATGCACAGATAAACAGTAGCACTGAAAAGTATTATTGTGTTTGTTTCCTCAGGCTGTAGGGGAGGCGGTGGTAGGTAAGAAGATGGCAGCCAACATCACGTTCACCAACCCTCTGCCACGTACACTGAGGGGCGTGGTGTTCAGGGTGGAGGGGCTGGGGCTGGGGCTGGGCCTACAGAAGGTCCACAAGGTGGTTGTGGGGTAAGACACTGTAACCACCTCTATTAGCTTGCTATTACCCTGCTTTCTCCTCTTTTCTCTCTCTCTATCTTTCACTTTATCTTTGTAAATTACTGTAATGATATCCTCTCGATCTCTCTCCGTATGTATATTAACACCTCTGTTTCTCTCCGTCCGTCTCCCAGTTACTCTAAGTCAGGGATGGGAAAATGGCGGCCCGCGAGCCACATGAACAAAGATCAATTTCCCTCCCCCAAGTTTAAAAAAAATAATTTGGGAAATCAACTTGCGTTAGAATAGTAGAATACACAATTTCGAAATTTGGTTGTCCATCAGCAGGTTTTCTCTTGTTATGTCAGTCACTGACAGTCACTCAATTAGCTCGTCAGCTATTATTTGTTGGGGGGTAAGTTAGTCTAGCCAGCTATCTAAACTTGTAGTAATCATTGTGACTATAAGGTTACTACGACTGGGGGGCCCCCATTGATTTTGTTAGTCACTCTCACTCAGATATCATATTAAAAACTGCAAACATTTCTCTCTACCCTATGACAAAATGTGTAGAATTGCAGGAAATGAGCTTTAAAACTGCAAATTTTTCTCTCTGACCCATGGCAAAACGACTAGAATTGCATGAAATTAGCTATACAATTGCTAAATCTTCTCTCAGCCACATGGCAAAATTTATAGAATTGCAACAAACTTGCTTTAAAACTGCAACATTTTCTCTACGTTCCATGGCAATGTGTAGAATTGCAGGACATTAAAGTTTTTCTCTCCGCTGTCAAGAGGGCGAGCCGCTAAAATATTTTGCTCGCAAAATGTCACTTAGAGCTCTGACTGCATGTGTGGGTATGGATGTTGTTACCCAGACCCTTGAGCCACTGCAGCCCCTCATGATGAGTTCACATTTTTTGTGGCCCCCATCAGAGTTGCTCATCACTGCTTTAAGTAATAACCCTCATATCTCTCTCCTCTCTCAAGTGATGTTGGGAGCCACTCTACGGTGACTCGGACAGAACACTTCACACCCACCCAGGCTGGACCCAGGAAGCTGGTAGCATCTCTGGACTGTAAACAGCTGACACAGGTGCACGGAATCGCTGACATCTTTGTCCAGGACCAATGAGAGGGAGCCTGCAGCTGCTCTCTCCTGTCCACTTATCTGGTGTTTCATTCAAGTCTCCTAAAAGAACATGGGAAGCCTTTTATTCAGTTTTCCCATGATTTGAGTATAATTTTTTTTAAATCATGCTGACATGTAATTATGGAAATACCCTGACCTTTGTATGAAGTTGTAAACTAAATTGTTTTACCAGCGTTAATGTTTTTAATACTCATGTCATATTTTTCTAATCAAATCAAGTTTATTTGTCACATTCTTCATAAACAACAGGTGTAAACTAACAGTGAAATGCTTTCTTACGGGCCCTTCCCAACAATGCAGAGAGAAAAATATATTAATAATAGAAAAATATAACACGAGGAATAAATACACAATGAGTAACGATAACTTGGCTATATACACGGAGTACCAGTACCGAGTCAATGTGCAGGGGTACAAGGTAATTGAGGTAGATACAGTAGGTAGGGATAAAGTGACTAGGCAACAGGATAGAAAATAAACAGTAGCAGCAGTGTATGTGATGAGAAAAAATAGTTAGTGCAAAAAGGGTCAATGCACATAGTTAAATAGTTAACCAATAGCTACCCGGACAAACTAATTAGCAGTCTTATGGCTTGGGGGTAGAAGTTGTTCAGGGTCCTGTTGGTCCCAGACTTGGTACATATCGGTACCACTTGCCGTGCGGTTTCAGAACGAACATTCTATTACTTGGGTGGCTGGACTTGCCTTTCCCTGACCCTGCCTGGAAAGCTCTGCCCCAGTGATATACTGGGCCATACGCAGTACCCTCTGTAGGGCCTTGCGGTCGGATGCCAAGCAGTTGCCAAACCAAGTGGTGATGCAGCCAGTCAAGACGCTCTCAATGGCGCAGTTGGATAACTTTTTGAGGATCTGAGGACCCATGCATAATCTTTTTAGCCCCTGAGGGGGAAGACGCGTTGTTGTGCCTTCTTCAGGACTGTGTTGGTGTGTGTGGACCATGAAAATTCCTTAGTGATGTGGACACCGAGAAACTTGAAGCTCTCGGCCCGCATCACTACACTAAACGGAAAGACAGAGGTAGAGTATAGTAGAGATTGTAGAGGGAAACAAATGTTAGAGTGGAAGAGAAATGTACTGGGTGATGGTGATTGAGAGGGCTTCTGAGTTAAAGGAAATGAAGGTAAATTAAGGTAAATGAAGGTAACAAAGGAAATGGGAAGTTCATTGGAAAGTAAGTTTAGAATTTGAATTGTTTGGACTGATTATGATTTAGCAAAGTGAAAACGAACTAAATGTTTATTTTCTCTCCCTTTGAAATGTTTCCCGAGGCTGTTGCCTTGGGAGAGTAGTTAGTGAAATTCTGCAGTTTTATAGAATATAAATGTATCTGGATTCGTCCGTAAAGGGAGCTCCCAAATAAGTAAGGCCTGGCCATTGGTTTGTTTGTTTTTACCCTACGTTTTACCAGCACACGCACACACAACTCACCGGTTATGAATATTTGTTAGTGGTGTTAATACCGTGTTTGATTTATTAAGTGGGGTCTTTTTTAATTTGGTTGTAAATCGGGTATGCAGAATGATGGAAATATTTTAAATGGTTTAAATGGTTTCGGAAGAACAGGGAAAGAAAATACCGTATTTTCCGCACTATAAGGCGCACCGGATTATAAGGCGCACCTTCAATGAATGGCCTATTTTAGAACTGTTTTCATATATAGGGCGCACCGGATTATAAGGCGCATAGATTAGAAGATACTGCAGTCAAATGTTTGACTGGGGTTGCGTTATGCATCCACTAGATGGAGCTGTGCTAAAGGGAATGTCAACAAAACAGTCAGATAAAGTCAAACTTTATTAAGCGTTCTGACAACAATTTTGGGGTCTTTATACACACACAAGTGGTGTGGGACTGTGAGTAGGCACAGTACCGGTGTTTACTGACTACGGTAGCCGTAATGCTGCAAGCGGTGCGGCTTTGTAGTTTACCAGTCGTACTGAAACATTTCATTATTATTAAATTGTTTTTATTGGTTTTTCATACTGAAACATTTTGACAGAGCGCCTTGAGCGCCGTGTACAACCAGTATGGATCAACCAATTAACCAATTGATCCATATATAAGGCGCTCCGGATTATAAGGCGCACTGTAGTTTTTGAGAAAATTAAAGGCTTTTAAGTGCGCTTTATAGTGCGGAAAATACGGTACCTAATAGGGCTGACTGACCTATGACCTCTGTTCTGACTTCCTGGTGAGAACTGATCACCCTCACTAGAAAGACTGGAGACATAGGGTGAGATTTAAATGGGCTATGTAAACACAAATAATTAGGAAGAAGTTTATAATTTAGCAATAGTCCTATGTGTGATTCGGACCACGAGAAGGAGAGAGAGAGAGTGCTGCCCCTGAATGAGGGACACCTGTCTCTACTCTATTTTACCATTACCTTATGGGATACAATTATTTCCTTATGGAGTTATCAAGAGTTGTAATTATAATTTGATTTGTTATTCTAATTTGTTCATTTCTGATTTAACAGGCAGTGTTGTTGTTTTTAATTACCAGTCCCCTGGGGCCCTTTGGTAAATATGCACATTTGTTTCTTCACCTGTCTGCCTATAAAAAGAATAAACGTTTTTCCCACCTCTAGTTTATATGAAGAAGTGTATTGCTGTTGTTTTGTTTGCTTGTTTTTGTCTTGTTTTGATACAAATGTCACCAGATTGGGTCTGCTGTATGATCAGGATTTCTCCCTAAGGTGTAACTCTGCGGGGAGGTCGCCAGTATGATAAGGGAGTATAAACCAAGTTGGGAAATGGTTTCAACAGTGTGTTCGTATGCTCTTCGACATTTGTCTTAGGAATTTTGTATTAAGAAAATTGGGAATGTAATAATTTGTCATACGATAAATAGTGTTGTTTTGGTCTATACTCTCTCAAAGTTATGGCGATAGTGACTACCGATGGTATCTACAGTATATGCATGGAAGGAATAATACGACGAGAACAGTGTTAGCTTCACCCCCCTTAACCGGCTGAAGAAATGGCAAAAATGGCACTCACTACGGCCCTGCCCTGCACCACTTCTACCGTGAGACCTGAGTCCGAGCCAGCAACCTGTACACAGCATCCAATCGAAGCTATCAACTGCCTTTTCTCTCATGCCTTTTCTCTCAGGAGTGCGACATGAGTCCACGTGGAGTGAACATGGAGCGAGATCCCGTACAAAACTTCTCTCATGTTGCTGGTGTACTGGTAGGAAAATGGACAAGACATAATGGACTGTAGAGGACATTATCAAGGGCCATTCACTTTGAACATGTGCCATTGGAAACACTATCTGAAGAAGAACATGAAGACACGCCAGAAGGATGAGTGCCCCGAGGGGGGGTGGTCAACCGTGCCCGTAATTGATTTAGGCTTATCCAAAATTGTTTATTTGGGGTATCAGGTTGATTGTGGAGGTCTGCACACTGCGAAATGTATAGTAATTTAGACTAAGAATGCATTGAGATACCAATCTGTCATTACCGCAAGTGATGAGAATAGTTCATGCTGGAAATATAAGATGAATATACTGTTTGTAAATGTACATTCTAACCATGTCTGTGTGCTAAGTTGATGGTCTTGAATATGAGTGATAGACTCAACGTGGAGCACTGACGACTGTCATTCTAAATTTGGGTACAATTGATAGTAGGGGTTTTGTTTTATCATGTTTTCAGAATTCTAATGTTAAAGCGCATCAATACATAAGGCCTGGATGATACAGTACAATTGACTTGAGCACGTTTTAGTATGTTTATAACTATATAAGTGGACTAGCAGGGTTAGATAGAATGATTTATGTGCAAATGTATTTGTAGCCGGAGGCTAAGTACATACGGGGCATGTGTTTGAGACAGAATGTTTGCATAAGAGTGTGCCAAATGATAGGTGACCATTTCTGTACATTCATACTCCGGGGTGAGGGTAACTTGACTATTGTAATGGAACATCTGAAAAAGCAGCGTTGATCTCGAAAACGAACACCAACCAGACAACGATTGGAATCCGTTTGGATGGGTTCAGTAATTTGTTGTTATGGGAGCTACAATATTTCATTGGTTGATTTACAGTGGCTTGCGAAAGTATTCACCCCCCTTGGCATTTTTCCTATTTTGTTGCCTTAAAACCTGGAATTAAAATTATTTTGGGGGGGGGTTGTATCATTTGATTTACACAACATGCCTACCACTTTGAAGATGCAAAATGTTTTTTATTGTGAAACAAACACACAAAAAAAACTTGAGCGTGCTTAACTATTCATCCCCCCAAAGTCAATACTTTGTAGAGCCACCTTTTGCAACAATTACAGCTGCAAGTCTCTTGGGGTATGTCTCTATAAGCTTGGCACATCTAGCCACTGGGATTTTTGCCCATTCTTAAAAGGCAAAACTGCTACAGCTCCTTCAAGTTGAATGGGTTCCGCTGGTGTACAGCAATCTTTAAGTCGTACCACAGATTCTCAATTGAATTGTGGTCTGGGCTTTGACTAGGCCATTCCAAGACATTTACATGTTTCCCCTTAAACCACTCGAGTGTTGCTTTAGCAGTATGCTTAGGGTTATTGTCCTGCTGGAAGGTCAACCTCCGTCCCAGTCTCAAATCTCTGGAAGACTGAAACAGGTTTCCCTCAAGAATTTCCCTGTATTTAGCGCCATCCATCATTCCTTCAATTCTGAACAGTTTCCCAGTCCCTGCCGTTAAAAAACATCCCCACAGCATGATGCTGCCACCACCAGGCTTCACTGTGGGGATGGTGTTCTCGGGGTGATGAGAAGTGTTTGGTTTGCACCAGACATAGCGTTTTCCTTAATGGCCAAAAAGCTCAATTTTAGTCTCATCTGACTAGAGTACCTTCTTCCATATGTTTGGGGAGTCTCCCACATGCCTTTTGGCAAAAACCAAATGTGTTTGCTTATTTTCTTCTTTAAAGCAATGGCTTTTTTCTGGCCACTCTTCCATAAAGCCCAGCTC